ACTAATGTATCAAAAAATTTTGAAACTATAATTAATTATTCCGATGGTTAGGAAGCTCACCTTGATCACAAGATACCGCATCGCAAACATTACTCTTAATACTTCAAAAACAGGTTTCTGATAAGTTGGCCAGTCAGTGTCAGACACAGTTAGTCTCTTATTGATTTAATTGGTCTTATTGAGACAGTAATTAAAAAACTAGCGTTAAAAAATTAATCACCAAATCAAGAAAAGGTATCCCCGAAAAAAATTACATTTTCTTTATTTCGAGAATTTCAAAATTTCTTTCCCCCTTTTTTCTTTTTTACTGCATTCTTATCTGGATTTAATTCTGGTATTTATACTCTCGAGGTGAGGAAGATCACCATGACTAGTTAATAATTGTTATATTCTATGTATGTGAATGTATTAGTTATCTCTGAAGAAGGCTCAAAAATGAGCCGAAACATGTAAGCGCTTTAGTAAAATAAAGAAGTTTCACGCTACGATAGTCGTGTTATTTGCGCAACATCTCCCGCGCTTGACTCCTACTGCCCTTGTTCTTTCATTGTTTTTTAATTTTAAGTTTTATTTAATTTATCAGCATCCCGTTTTAATTATCAAATATGAAAATAAACCAAATTAATTTCAAATTTTATTAAATTTTCAGCTATCCTGAAATTAAACATTTAAACATTTCGTTAAAATTCTATATACGTACAAATTATGTAACGCGTTAATATTGTAATTAATTTTATTGTAAATAAATGTATGTATAATAATATTAGGTATGTAATATAAAATTTATGTAAACTATGTCCAGATAAATGCCATCATACTTATTTTTGTAAAAAATTTGCACAAAGATTACTAAATTAGTAAATTATACATTTACTGAAATATATATATATACACACATACGTATATCTATTCAATACAGATAGTATTTATCTTGTCGTAAGTAAACCAAATTGTTGCATAATTGATATTATACGAAATCGACGAAACATAAAATAACAAAAATTGTTTATTGATTTAATAAGTTTGATAAATATTTATCTTTGAAACTTTTTTTGATTTTTTAGATTTTATTCTGAATATCAAAGAGTCATTAATAATTTTAACTTCTAATTAAAAATTTGATGTTTAAAATAATCGTTTTTCTTCGTACTTAGTATACAAATTTATTAAATTCGTATTGCTTGCTTTTGACATTTACATTTTTAACATTACAGAGTTACAAGTATATTTTAATGATCAATTATTATATGCAAAGGCCTCATCGCTATTTCTCGCGTCAGATGGATGCCTGTATATGCCTGTGATTGCGTGTTTGTACCGATGGTAAGTCGAAATTATTTTCATCGTGGAGTTATTCCTCGTCGCTTTTCGTAAAGCCCATTCGCGAAATTTAGTTTGGTGTCTCTTTGGAGATTCTTGTACAGGATCGGAATTAATTCCGGGTTTTCTCGTCTGTAGTTACTGGAAATAATAATTTTGTCAATGACAATTGCTATATATATTATATTTTGAAGTCAAGTTGCGAAATTAATTCAGTGATATATTAGCATACAATTTTCATTGCTTTCTTTGTTTTATTAAATGTTCTTCCACTAGTAATGATAATGTTAGTAATAGTACTATTTTAATAACAATAGGAATTTATTATTATATGATTAATATGCATATAATGATTATCTGTTTAAGTCTAAATTATTAAGCAAATAAATTTAAATTTTATACAAATATAATAGTTTGTTCAATTTTCAATGATTCCTCTAACAACAATATGGTTACGAATGTATATATTTAATTTTCTAACTGTTATTTTAAAATCACTTTTAGGTATTGGACATCCCGCCATTCCACAATATTAATCATAATTATTAATTTATATATATATATACATACTTTTCTATGATAAAATACATGCAGATATTATGAGAATATATTTAACAAATTTTAATTTTTGTCGATGAATTTGAATTAAAAATGTGTGGCTGCAAAAAATTTGAGATAAGTCGAATGGGTACCCTCATATTAGCGGGATAGTAATAAATCAAATTTTTAGAAAATGCAGAAAAATAAGGAATTGTTAAATTTTATATAATAAATTTTTCAATATAAATGTTCTTTGAAATCCCGTTATTATATCGGGTTCGCCTTATCTCGAACAGTTGGTACCCGAGAAACTTTGTACCCATACATATAAAAAATTACAATAACGCATGTATTTTATTATTATTAAATATATTCCTCCGTAACCACTATTCCAAAAGGAAATTCTATCTGTTTATTTTTAATAACAGATGATTTTTAGTGATATGTGGCAGAACATATTTTCTCGCCAATTTTAATATTATATTAAAAATTTGATAAAAATGGTAATTGTAATTAACGTGCTATCAAAATTATTACTATCGTAAGTAGTCTGAAAGATTCGGGATTCACATCCTCCTGTAACAAGATCATTGGTATTTGACGGATTGCTTAACTTTTCTTTGCAAATGGATCTTGTGAATTTGACGTTGAAACAGAATACATTAAATTCGCTCTCCACTATGAAGATTGTTCTTCTTTGTATATAGGATACTACAGCGTACCACAAGGCGGAGGAACTTTGATATGATGAAATTATTGAGATAGTTATCTTGAACGTGATGAAAGTGTTGTTATAAATATATTAATGACTTTTTATCGCGATATTATTAAGTTATATATTCGCAAATTAATAATGAATAGTAAATACGATCTAATTGTTGTTAGTATTTCATTCCACTTTTCTTAATATTTCATTAAAGTTTAGAAAAATTTATGTTATCGTATGTATTTTCGACGTTTTCGTACAATCCCGCATTAATAAATTTTGTTAATTATGCTCCTATAATATAATTTTTATTATATTTCGAACAGCATTTATAATTGTACATTGTATTGTAAACAATTATTATTGTATTACTGAATGTATAAAGAATTACAATAAAAAATAATATTAAAAAAGTTATGCAATATGATTTTATCGTATTTCGCTAATCATAATGCAATATAATTATTTTATCGTATTTCGCTGATCATAATGCAATATATGTATTTAGCAAAAAATACAATAAAATAATTAGACATAAAAATAAAAAATAAATTTAAAATATACTAACTTGCAAAAACGGACTACTAAATTTATTGATAGCCCGTTTTTTTACGGGTGAGTATTATACTTACAAAGAAAAGAGGACCGCCGATAAAATCGGTGGGGGTGATGGAGGGCCTCTTCAGGTTGATTCATTTTTATTCATTTAAATTTTCTTTATAATTTTAGATTAAATGTAGTTTGCTTACAATTAGAAGAGTTCTAACTTTATTCAAATTTCAAATTGCAAATTGTGATAAAGTAGTGCAATGATTGATCCGTCATGTTTCAGGAATTCCCTTTCTATATTTGAATACCTATATATGTGTTACTTTTAAATTTCAACAATTGTAATTAAAATTAGATATTTTAAAGGTATCAAATAAATTTCTTATATTTGATGCGTTTGGGGAGACGCTATTAGCGCGCTACTTCTGTCATTCTATCTTCGTTGTTTATTAGACGTAAAATAAAGATGACACAAATAGCGCTAATAGCGTCTCCCCAAACGCACCTATTTCATATCGACTTTAAATCGTATAAAAGCTTCTGTTTTTTTGCACATGACGATACAAAGCAGAGTTTTATTGGATATCGCTCGTCGCTGATCTCCCATCGTATCCAGTGTGCAATAGGCATTAAGGCCGGTATTCATAGCCTGTTCTTATTTTAAGACCATCTTAAGTAATGTATTCAAGATTATTTACGTGTAGAGTTTTGCGATGCATGAACTAGTTGTTCAGTAAATAAACAAAATATTTATTTGATTATATTAGAAAGTTTGCGGGTTATCACCGTGTCTTCTTTCATGATCGATGCCAACGTTTCGTGAACCATGCTGTTCACGAAACGTTGGCATCGACCATGAAAGAAGACACGGTGATAACCCGCAAA